ATCAGATGGATACAAATAGAAATACATCTAACAAAAACACAAAGTTGACATGAACGGGTACTTGTACATCCCAAAAACAAAAAGACAGTAATATTTAGTTGTTCGGTAGTAGGACCATGTTTAGTCGTTCAGGAAAGAGTAGATATTTCCTTAGCAAATTGAAACATCGTAAAGGCCAAATACGCAGGGCGTGTGTCGACCGTATAACTAGTAAAAGAATACACCAGTTTGTAAAATCCCCATTATAGAACATGCTCGTAATATGCCTTTTGTGTATTGGAAAAATTTATGAGGTAAATATGTCTGCCATGACATCCGAAAACTTGGTTGTTCATTAACAAATCCACATCGTAAAGGCCAAACACGCAGGGCGTGTGCTGACCGTAGAACTAGTAAAAGAATACACCAGTTTGTAAAATCCCCATAATAGAACATGCTCGTAATATGCCTTTTGTGTATTGGGAAAATCTATGAGGTAAATATGTCTGCCATGACATCCGAAAACTTGGTTGTTCATTAACAAATCCCATCTGTTTGTACCGTTGCTGTAAAGACTGTCAGAGTAGATTCTGGCGTGAAATTATCTTGCAACAGCACGTTGGCGTATTCCTGCCAGCAACATTCTTATGGCCTGAATCAGATTTTCAAAGCTCGGTCTCGGCAATATGGAAATGCAACGTGTTTTACTGATTTTATTGAGGTAATGGAATCAAAGAAATGTTTCACGAAAAAACTTTAAAAAATCATGCATTGGTTTCAAATTTCGCTTTTAAAAATTCGTTCGACGTCAATAATCCGGTATGTTCGGCCAAGTTACCTCAGTTAAGTCAGGTATTGAATTTTTCTAAACAGACAGAAGTATGGTACGAATATAAAGCAATTACATGGATATTAATCATGATTTGGAAAAAAATTCACCATAATGTTTGTTGCGTTTAGTTTATATAAGATCGTTTTCATTTTTCGTTTTTGTATTCTGTAATATAAACAAAATATATATGAATGATAATACAAAAATAAGATATGGTATGATTGCCAATGAGACATCTCTCCACAAGAGACCAAAGGACACAGAAATGACAACATTAAGTTTTGGGAAAGGAGGAAGTTGATTACTCTCAAAACTTGTATAGACACCCTGTCTCAAGTCTCGAATGTCGTTACTAGTTTTGTCTTTTTATGTTAGACTTTAGTGACAGTATTTTTCATTTATCCGTCTATTGAATTATTCAAAAAGTGTGAGCGATTGTCAATTGCCAACAACTCATGTTACATGCTATCTGATAAATGTAACAGATTGGACAGAAAGAATCTTTCTTTCTAAGGACCATCAGGGATTTACCAACAATCGTTTCATCAGCCAACCCTGTTCAGGGAGTCATGGCTGCCCTAAAGGCATGCTCTAAAAGGAACTAGGCAACACCAGTTGTGCATAATTTAAATTGTATTATATTGCGAATGTTTTTTTTTTAATGTAAATAGCCAAGAGGAGAACTTTCTGTGTTGCCCGACACTACGCAAAGTTTTGGCGCGTAACCAATAATATTCAGTTTTTGAATCAGGTTCCTTACCTGGAAGAAGAAGAAGAAGAAGAAGAAAGAAATTATCAGTCCTATTTATCTATTCCCTCTTGGAAAGGACTGGTTACTGAAATAATAACAGGGTATGGATCGCAGGCCCGTAGCTAGGATGTCTCTAAGGGTGTGGTATATTTTAATGCCATGACGCTCTGACTGTAATAGTCATGCAAACTTCATTATCACTGAACTAGTATATATATTTGTTTAGGGACCAGCTGAAGGACGCCTCCGGGTGCGGGAATTTCTCGCTGCATTGAAGACCTGTTGGTGACCTTCTGCTGTTGTCTGTTCTATGGTCGGGTTGTTGTCTCTTTGACACATTCCCCATTTCCATTCTCAATTTTATTCAATTTGAATCTCGGCTTTAATGGTTAATAGTATTTTTTTTTGTTTTTAGAGGGGGCCCGGACTTGAAGTCCGAACCCCCTGGCTACGGGATGGATTCAGAATTTTTTAAAGAGGGGGGGGGGGGGCAAGGAGGGGGTTCCAATAACAGCAAAAAAGCAAATTGATTTGGCTTATACCTGATAACATGGAATTGAAAAGGGATAAAAACAGATAACAGTAAATGAATAATTAAAATCAGTCTGTCCAGTACAAATCCAGTATATAACTGATTATAATCCTTTGTAATGAATTCCATTTTCTATGAACATGATTTTATAGTTATATATCTAGAATTGGTTTATTCAATGTATGATAATATTTTTTTGTTACAGAATACTTTTTTCAGCATTTATTACTTGTAATTTAAATAGTGAGTGTATTCTTAGAAAAGAATCACAGAGCTGAGTCTGTGTTCCTTATTATATAAAAGGTGTTTAGGTTATAAACTGGTCGTATGGAACTAGGACTTAATTGCCATCCTCATCAGGAATCCCTTTGCCATATGTTTTCCTTTTTGTCGAGTCTGCGACTTTTGTATTTTACTGATAAATGGACTTAGTTTTTCTGCCAGTTACATCACATTCACTCTGTGGTTAAAGATTTAAAAATTTTAATAACTTTCTTATAAACTATCCCAAAGTTGGTTTCCGTTCTCTAACTTCAGTTTGCCCCAACCAAATGTATGAAACTTATACACAATGCTTATTACCACAAAACACAGATCAAGTTTGAATGTTGGTCGTGTCACTGTAACCGTTCTAAAGTTATGCCCCTTTACAAACGAAAAAATTGCTGAATTTTTCATTTCTGTTCTCTAACTTAAGTTTGCCTCAACCAAATGCTATGAAACTTATACACAATGCTTATTACCACACAATATAGATCAAATATGAATTTTGGGTTGGGGCGTCACTTTAACCGTTCTAGAGTTATGCCTCTTTATAAATGAAAAAAATGCTGAATTTTTTAAGTTTCCGTTCTCTAACTTTAGTTTGCCTCAACCAAATGCAATGAAACTTGTACACAATGCGTATTACCACAAAATTAAGATCAAGTTTGAATTTTGGGGTTGTCACTAAATTTTCTAGAGTTATGCCCCTTTACAAATGGAAAAAAATGCTGAATTTTTCGTTTCCGTTCTCCGAGTAAATTAAGTTTGCATCAACCAAATTTAATGAAACTTATACACAATACGTATTACCACAAAACTCGGATCAAGTACAAATTTGGGTAGGTTCACTTTTACTGTTCTTCAGTTATGTCCCTTTATAACTGTATATGATATGCAAGCGGGGGCATCATCTGTGTTCCATGGACACATTCCCCATTTATTTTATAACTTTTTACCCATTTTGTTGAGCCTGCGACTAACATCAAAAGTAGGCGAGACACTAGTACTGGGTTCCGTGGAACCCTTAAGAATTTTTGTAATATTTTAAAAGAATTGTTTGAATTTAATATGCACATACAGGGAAACAAGGATCGTTATCCCTATACGTAAAAATCAAGATAATTCTAAATACATGTTCATAGAAAAAGGAATTTATTACAAAGGATAATAATAATATATAATGTAATGGTCCTGGACTCAACTAATGTTAAAATGTTTATGTGATTAAATATAAGAAGATGTGGTATGAGTGCCAATGAGACTACTCTCCATCCAAGTCACAATTTGTAAAAGTAAACCATTAATATAGGTCAAAGTACGGTCTTCAACACGGAGCCTTGGCTCACACCGAACAGCAAGCCATAAAGGGCCCGAAAAATGACTAGTGTACTGTAAACCCATTCAAATGCCTATATGTTAATTGAATCCTTCTCCGAATACGGGACCACCATGTTACTTGTGGAAAGATCCCAATTCAATTTTCTGAAGATTGGCTGTCAAAATGCTAACATTCCAATTTTCAATAACAGTTAACAGCAAATACATTATCTGTTATTATGAGAATGTATTTGCTGTTAACTGTTATTTTCAATAACAGTTAACAGCAAATACATTCTCATAATAACAGATAACAAAAAAACTAATAGTCCAATAACAACTAACAAGGAATAAGACAATAACAGCTAACAGCAAATACATTTTCAGAATAACCAGATAACAAAGAATTAAATTGTCCCAAAACAGCATAACAGTTAAACCCCTTGCTCCCCCCCCCCCTTTTAAAGGGTTAATGTAAAAAGTTTATTTTTGTGCAGTATTAAATTCATGTGATATATTAATTATCATTGTTAACAGTATCGAAGTGAAATGTATAATGAGAGAAACAACTATAATGTCAATATATGAACTGTGTATGATTAATGGCTTATATTATAATATGATATATAATCAAGATATTTGAAATGATAACTTTATAGAGGAGGCATGATGTCAAAAATAGAATTGTAATAAATATTATACGTTTATTTTTTTTCCATGCTACATGTCTGTATTGTTTTCTGTCTATCATTTTGTTATTTATATGTTTTTTCTTTAGTAACAATCCTATTTTTTTATTTTAAACTAATAAAATTTTTATTCCTATTCGTTATTCTTATCATTTTCATTTCTATTTAAAGTTGTATAAATGTTTTATTCATTTAATAAATAGCCTTATATTCGGCTTTTCCGTGGCCGAAAATATATGGATGTTGCCATCAAAATGCCCAAACCCAATCTTCAGTACCTTATGATTCCCTTAACAAATGCTTTAGGGTTTCTGGGTTTGCGAAGCGAGGGCATTTTAATCTTATGACCTGACAATTTTGTGTCAGCAAAGCGCTTTTTGTAACGTGTGACTTATTTTACAACTGAAGACTTTTCACGATGCAACCAATGTAAACAATAAAAAGAAGAAAACGTGCAGACTGCAGTGAACACAGGTAGTTAACAGGTAAACATGCAATAAAACGTTGTTAATTAAATCAAACATCGAGAGATAAGTGCATAAAATTAAAACAACTAAATAAAACTATATATAAGTGTTTGTAGGTGCACTCAGGTAAAAAAAAAACGTGTGTTTTGCTTGATTAATCAGGGGGTATTGTTATTGTTTATGTGTCACTGTTGGTTACGCGTGGCCGATTGACCAGTTACGACACATCTAAAGAGAAAGATTAATTAATAAATCAATACTTCCACATGATAAGAAACGACACGTCCGAAAGTCCCAGTAATTCAAGCCAAGTTATTTTAGTGAGAGAAGCAAAGGTGAGTACAAGTAATATTCTAATGAATGGCATGCAAGTTTAAAATTCGATTTACTATTTCATCAATATACATGTATGATCAGCTGATAGTTACATATGTGTGTAATCTGATGTAGAGAATATGCAATGTTTGGTGTCTATACCTTATTGACAAACGTATAAAAGTCTTAATTAAATTTCAACAGAAATATACAATATGCCAGCGGGGAGGAGATATAATATATAATAGAGGGTATTTAACTCCAAAACATATATTTTGATGAATGGTATAAAGCAAAAAATTAATTTGGGCTTCTTAAAAAAAATATTATAGGTTTTGTATTTTTGATGAGTGTTTACCCTCAAATGTGACATGGCATATCATTTACCATTGTCCTTTATCATGTTAATTGATGATTGTCTAAATGTATGATGTAAATTTATCAACATGCAAAACTTTACCTGTGGCTTTATATTTTTGTAAAGTGTGGCCATAGGTCAATCTGAAAAATAGGGGTGGGGGATGGGGGCAGCAGTAATAAATTTGGAAATGTATTAAAATAAGACAAATTTCTTCCTATCAGGTAATTGCTTAAACTATGATACATTGTGATATTTGCCATTGGGGACCGAAAATTAATTTAATTTTGGTTACATCCATATCATATTTGATTACAGATTAACACAATGGCTACACAAGAAGAAGTTGAATTACCTAACATGGTGGGAGAAATGAAGCTTGATAGCAATGAAACAAATGATAGCCCTGTGCTGGAAGTCAACTCATCAAACCCTGACCAGCCAGAGAGTCAACAGACCACTGACACACAACAAACACTCAATGATCAGAAGAAAAACGGCATTAATAATCCGGTATTTTCAGAGGAGGGAACAATAGAAGAAACAATTCCCCCTTTGACCTATGTGGATTTTCTCCCTCAGAAAACTCATGCAGAAATTGCAACTGATCCTACATTTTCAGATTTTAGGTGAGTCAGTTGATCAAACAGGGCTTAAAGATAAAAAAAATCAGACAGGGTTCACTATAAAACAAGGAATTGATTGAATCTGGAATAATTTTGAATTCTGGAAAACTGATAAGAAATGTTTGATGAAAACTAACACAACGAAAGTGGGTTAGCCATGCACACATTGTAAAGGTTCAAGTTACTTTCACTGATATTTCAGTATGAACTATTTAACCCCCCTTATCCATTCATGCATGGCTAACCCTCCTTAATTGGGTTAGATTTTATCATACATATCTTATCATTTTTTCAGAATTCAAAATTATTCCAGATTCAAATAATTCCTTGTTTTAATTCTTTTTGATAGAAATTAATTTCATATTATATTAACCCTAATTCTTTAAATTGGTATTAATTGCTTCTGCCCTATCTACATGTACCTGGAATTAAGCAATGAGAGCAGAGACCTTATAAATCATTGTTTGTGAGGTTATTAATGTGTTTGCAAAGAGGTTTTTCAAATCGTTGTGAAATAAATTCGTTGATTGTTGATTTCTTCCCAAAATGTTCAATTTTGGACAGTTTTAAAAACTGTAGTACAAATAAAACAACCATTCAATGTCTACAAACATAAGTTGAATTTGTTCATTGTCCGAAACAGGAATGAATGCTCATGCAGCAAAATCTCCAATTTTACCTGGTTTTAAGCTTTTTACAAATTAATTTTCTTTCTTTTGAGACTATGCATCTTTATATCTACTACTGATTCATTTATTTTTGTGAGTACCAATTTTCGTGGATTGCAGAAAACTTGCCTTTTCATGGATATGCCATTTCGTGGTTTTGCCTAGTCTGCATATAGGCTGATAGAAAAATTGTAATTCGTTGAACATTTACATTTGTGGTTCACCTGTAGCCATGAAAACCATGAAAATTGGTATCAAACAAATAATAATGAATCCACAGTAGTACTTGCTGTTACTTTCTTAATTTTAGACTAAATAAACATGTAAGTAATGGCATCAGTATGTTTTTATTGACAGCTCAATCATTGAACAGGCCAATTCCTGGCTACAACTGAACCCAGAATACAGTTTGTGGAAATGTGAAACAGTGACATTTAAAATAAAGAATGATTTTACCTCTGACCAGGATGACCCTGTTTATATGGAATCAGCATTTGGTCTAAACAGATATTTATCAGGGTTAAGGTAAATATATCTATCAGTATTTTTTTCCCCGATTCTTTCGTAAAGGAGATATAAAAGTACCAAGACAAGAAACATCACAGACAATTGTAATCTCATACAATGTCGTCTGAGATTGCCTTGTTTTGCATTTTCAGTTTTTGAATCAGCTTTCTACCTTGAATGCATACAAATATAAAAGAAAATTTGAAAGTCTATATAGGTCACTTTTTCATTTAACTTTTAAGTGTTTTTTGTATACAATGATTAATTGATAACTGCTACAAATGTTTTTGAAGCATCATGTTTTTTAGTAGTCAGTAAACTAGTGATTTTTTTTCATAACCATAATTTTCTTAGGGATAAAGCAAAAAGTGAAGTAAAGCTTTTCATTTAATGTATTCAATGCATTTACATGCAAAGGGAGATAATCCATCAAATTTTCCAATTGTTGCTATATACTGAATTTTCTATTGCTTTCCTAGGTTATGGTTAGTTCCACAGATGAATTCCACATTACCTGTAGCACAGATAGGTTTTACTACAGCGTTACCAGGGAAACTGGATGAATATAGTTATGTCATTGTGTCATCTAATAGTACAATTCAAGATTCTATAGAACAACTCAATAAACAATTCATTAAAAAACCATTACCAGGTAGGAACTTATTCTAAGATCTTTGATTGAAGAAAAACAATTGATGATTTTTATTTTCCTTTTTTGAAATGAAAAAAAAAGATTTTGGTTCTTTTTGTATCCTTTGGCTATTGTTTCGACCTTATATACATTGAGGTAAGGTCAACGTCATTGTAAGTGCCTTCATTAAAAATAGGTTTTATTTTATCATGCTTAAAGAAATACATTGTATAGTATAATACACACAAGTGATAGGGGTACCTGTGCTCATCTCCATTTTAGAAGCACTTTAATTGAATTGTAGTTATGACCTATTTCCAGATGTAAAGGATATTTGTAAAATTTAACTTTATTGAAGGATCAGGTATAACAATAGATATACATAACGATGGTTATGAATATATCTTATATACATGTCATAGATTTCTTTGGAAAACTGACATATTATGGACATGATGTTTTCAATCTTTTGGAAAAAAATTCAAAAATATCTATTGGTACAAGAATATACCTTTTTGTTGAAAAATTATAAAATTTTCATTTAATGTTTCAATTAAATTATCATAATGTTACAATAAACATTGTGATGATGTAAATGTACAATGAAACTAGATGAGAAATAAATGGCAACTCACTTGAATGCAGTGAATTCATGTTACTTGGTTTTGAAATTAATCAGTTAATGAAATGATTGATTGATTGTTTGTGGTTTAGCATCCAGTGGCAATTGACTGCAGTCATAAGTTGTATATTTTGATATTGTGACTGTTATAATGAAGTTTAAATAACTACTGTTAAGGGAGAAATTTAACTTTACATAAAAATCTATATGTATCTTGAGGTAATATTTTTATTTTTTTTTCATAGGTGTGATTTTAAATGTAGAAATGATTGAATTTCATGAGAATGAGTCAACTGGTTCCATGTCAGTAGATCCTAATAAAACATACTGGGAAGAAAAGGGAACAGAAAACATCGTGAAAATCTCTGCAGTGAGAGTCTATTTCATCATAGGAAAACCTGAATATGTCAAGATTGGTAAGTTACTTGAAGGAAGAATAGAGAGCCTCTTTCTCACTGTGAAGAACCCAGGGAAGAAATAATTGGAAGGAGTAGTAGATGGAATGCTGTTATGTATTTGTTTTCCAGTGATGGTCAAAATCTAAAGGCTACCTACTTATCAGATCCTGTCAATCAATATATCTTTAACTTAAGATAAATAAGAAAAAATTGCTTTATACTTTTATTTGACACAGTGGTCTTGCTAGCTACAATAATTAATGCTCTTAGCCACATCCATCTGTTCTTAATATAAAATAAAGAAGATGTGGTGAGATTGCCAATGAGACAACTTTATCCACCAGAGATCAAATGATGTAGATGTTAGCAACTATAGGTCAATCATGGTACGGCCATCAACTATGAGGAAAACCCATAAGGCATAGAAATCTATAGATGGCCCTGGGATAATATAATGTAAAAGAATTCAAATGAGAAAACCAACAGTCTGAATTCTGTACAAACCAACAAATGAAAATCAAATATGATATACAGCAAAAAATGACAGCCACTGAACTACAGACTTGGGACAGGCACATAATAATGTGGCGGGGTTGAAATGTTAGGGACGCCCAACCCTCCCTTTAACCATTGACAGTAGTATAAAAGCACAACACAGGAACAAACTTATAAAAATCAGTTGAAATAAACAAATAGAGAAACATGATATACCTTTATGAAACAGAAATGTAATATACCAGGCATCATAGAATGTTGATATGTTCTTGGTCATTAATTCAATTTACTATCAAATAATCTCTGTTTAGCAATTTTAGGAATAGGGACTAGAACTGTATAACACTCCAATTTGATGTTCACTTACACCGGCAATGTTAATGATGAAATTAATTGACATGTCCTAACTTTGTACAGTGCACTATCACTTTCTCATTTAACAGTTCAATACAGTGGAAAATCTCAAAACAAAGTACCCACTAACAGTCAGATTACAAAGTGGGAAATTGTAACACTTAACTCAATATGATATGAGGTTTCATAGTATTGTTAGGTCCAACATTCCTAATATTCTCATAGTTTTCTATATTTTAAGGCTATTTTCAGTCCTTCAGATTTTATCATTTCCCTGTATTTCTAAATATTACTTATCAAACTGTTCTGTTATTTATGTTTTTTAGGTTATCATGATGAACTTCCCAGCATGCAGCATATACCATTTTCTACTGTTGTAAAGTTTGGACCGTTCAAAGATGTAGTACACAAAATGGGATATTGGTTGAAATCTCAAAAGGTATGTGACAGTTAAAATATCATATATGTAAGATAAAAAATCTTATATGATTTGTTATAAATAAATTTTATTGCAATTTTATTAGAAGAATGAAAAAGGTATGTCAGAGCATAATGATAATATTACAAGTATATCACTGAGAAGTCCCTCCGTGATAATTTATACAATAAGGGGGAAAAGTATATATACTGGCTGATCAATAACAGTTAGTGTATTTTTTAATAATCTAGTTAGATTAGAAACCAGAGCCAAATATTTTGTTAATCTACTGCTCAACGGAGCACAAGTCAACTTTTCTTGTAATTTTAAAAAGTAAAAAAATCATATTTGCATAATTTTCTTATTGTGTTTCAGGGTATAAGAGTTGTAAATTTACAAAGTATTAACGTTGTAGTGAGTTACAGCAGAGACGGTAAGAATAATATTATTTATTATTATTTTAGATTGTCCAAATGCACAATTTGTCCCTTTTTTTGTTATTTTGAAATACTATTTTTTTCTTTACATGATAGATGTACAAAAAATCTATTGAACAAAGAAGGTGCTAAAAATATATGGCTTACAAAAGGTGCAGAGACATTAGTTAATTGTCCCTTTTAAATTATCTCATGAATTTCAAGGGAAACAAATGAAAATGAATATTGGGAAGATGCTTATGATACAACATGAAATAAAATGAATGAAAATTTCTGAAATTATCACAACTTGACAAGTAATTACTAGTTAAGAATAAGAAAAACCTCAATAAAATGCTCCTGCAATAAGTTTACCCTCACATCAAAAGCCAGTAAATCATGTCACTTTATAAGTAGTATTCACATGTTACACCTGAGATTGGTCCTTTATTGAAGTATTATTTGACAAAATGTGTGCTTTTCATTGAAATTATTGTTAGCACAGAAGGCAAATTTTCAAAACTTTATACAAGACTGAAATTTTTTTTTGGGTCCTCGTGAAATAAATAACATAAATGTCTAGTACATGTACATTTTGTGTATATGTTTTCTTTATATATGCAAGATGTCGATAATTTTGTAAAAAATGTTTTTTGTAAATTTTGCAGTTAAAGCTTATTTAGATCCAACACAAAACTGCTGCACTGAAAAAACTGGTATAGAATCTAGATATGCAAAGGTCTTGAGAGCGTTTTACGTCCAACAGAAATCTGATGATATGCCATACTCCTCATTGAATCTGCATACAAGGCTTTTTGTACCTGTCTTGAGGGAAGGAAAGCTGTTTGAAAGCGTCTCAAAAACCATGCAGAGAACTATTAAATGGCTTGATTATACAAGTAAGTATGATACTAATTAGGGATATCACAATCAGATATAAAAAAACAAGGAGTTGTGGAATGATTACCAATGAGACAACTATTCATCAGAAACCAAAAGAAGGGGATGAAATTAACTATATTGGTCACTCTACAACCTTCAAACAATGAGCAATTTCTATATCATATGTACGCTATAAACGAATCAAACATGAAAAAATATGAAACTATTCAAACTAAAAAACCAGCAGCCTGATTTAAGCTAGAAAAATACACAATATTCTAAAAAAGACAAAAAACAAAAAAAGCAGACAGCAACCAACAACAACTGCTGAATTACAGGCTCCATGAGTTGGGACATCAAGGCATCATGTTAGATTGAAAATAAAAGGAGACGTATGGTAAATGTGAATCAGAGAGCAACCCAACAAAACAGTAAAAACACATCATGATAGGTTTTACTTTTTATATTCTTTGCTTTGTTGACTCAAAAATCTCAAAAGTTGTATTTCTTGAAATGTACAAAATACTGTCTGGTAATTTTTGTTCAGCCAATAAGTCTGTTCATATCTCTTGACTTTCAAATAGTCAAATGAAATTTCAAGTTGCTTTTATTCTAAAAGTTATTGCTCAGACCAGTTAAGGGCATACGATACAGATACAGGGGAGGTAATGACGTTACTAATGAAAAAAAAATAATTTTGCGACGTATAAGGATGACATATCGGGAAAAGATGCATTTTTCGACTGATTTAAATCATTAGCATGAAAACAATTATCTTGACCCCACTTTTCAAAAATGACATTTGGCTTGGTTATGTATACCATTTTTTATGAAATAATCACAGATGATATTTTTTTTTAAATAAGATAAATATACAGCAAAACAGGTTTTTTTTTTTTAAATCATGAAAATTTGATAAAAATGAATTATTTCCAAAGAATTGTTTTACAAATTTTTAGCATTCTTATGTAAAGATGATATGCCAAATGTTTTGACTAAAATCCACACTTGTTTATTCTTTGAAACAAAACATTAAGGTTTGTCTGTCCAAAAGATAGAAATCTTCAAGAAACCGAAACTTTAATAAATGTCTAAAATTTGGACCCAATTTATCTCTAAAAGTAACACATGAAAGTAATTTTTTATGACATATTTGAATGGACTAGGTGAAAAATAGCTTGTATGCAAATTTTGTCAAAAATTCACCTTGGGATCAAAAATGTATCATATGCCCTTTATGAGTGTATGATGTTTAGATTTCTATAAATTTACTGGAAAAGTTTAGCAATGTTTTTATTACAAAAAAAAGAATACAGTAAAACCAGTATATAGAGGTAACTCATGAGACCTATGAAAACTGACCTCATTAGGGAGGTGACCTTTGAACTGAGGTTCAAAATACATAGGTTTACTACCTAGGGACAAAAGGTATCCTAACAAGAAAAAAAATTTTCTTATTAGAGATGACCTTTATATAGATATAAGAAGATGTGGTATGAGTGCCAATGAGACAACTCTCCATCCAAGTCAAAACTTATAAAAGTAAACCATTATAGGTCACAGTACGGTCTTCAACACAGAGCCTTTGCTCACACCGAACAGCAAGCTATAAAGGGCCCCAAAAATTACTACTGTAAAACCATTCAAACCGGAAAACCAACGGTCTAATTTATAGCAGGTTTGACTACAGCAAGCCATTATTTACAGTTGGCATTTGAAATTCTGTATTTAATTATATTTATGGAGCATTCCTTGAAATCACATTATTTAATATAAAAATCCATTGATCAACAATACCACACAGCAACTTATGATGTTTTAATGAGTGTTTTCAGAATGCCACTGTTTTAACTTTTCAGGGGTCCCACCATTTTCGGTAGAAACAATACAGTACCAAGTCTACCTAGGTGGAGAATCTGTAGGAAATCTTGAGGACAAGGTAGATAAATCTGTCAGACGTACCAATGGTAGATATCAGCTAAGTACTTTCAGGTGAGTCTTCTGATAGATGGCTTCAATATACTCTTTTCTTGAGAGATATTTCAATTATGACAGTTAAATAGGCTATTTAACATTATGTTGTTTTGTTTATTTCAATGGGATACATGTCTTGAATTCCAATCTTAAGAACATAAAAAGACAACGTACATAAAAGATACCTGAGTGCTGAGATTATCAACGACAACAAGGTGACAGTCTTTACTGTCACTGATGATGGTCAAAGTATTCTTGACACTTCCTTACATAAACAGAAGGAGCAATCTGCTACATTTTGTGATACTGATAACATTTAATACATTTGATTATTGAAAATTAGATTCATAAATAATGGTAGTGCAATTCATAATTGATTAATTGTTGTTTACTTAATCTCTACTGTCAAATGTGTCTTGTGGTTGGGCAAAATATTTGCCCACTTAAAACAGAAACAGAATTGAAATGTGGGTTCAAAATATCAGAATTTAACCGGAGAGAAAATATTGTAATGCTTGAATATATATCAGGATAACTGAAGGCAGTAGAAACTAGATAACAATAAAAAATAACAGTGTTCTAACTAGACTATATTCAGAGGGTACAGTGTCTGATGCCCTGTGCCCTTTTTCTTTGTTGTCTTGGCACCCTACCCATTTTGTGGTACGATTGCCAATGAAACTCTCCACCAGACCATAAGACATTCACAACTATAGGCCACCATACTGCCTTCAACAATGAGCAAAACCCTACCGCATAGTAAGCTATAATAGGCCCTGAAATGACAAATGTAAAACAATTCAATTTTCATTAAAATTGAGAATGGAAATGGGGAATATGTCAAAGAGACAACAACCCCACCAAAAAGCAGACAACAGATGAAGGCCACCAATGGGTCTTCAATGCAGCGAGAAAATCCCGCACACTGAGGTGGTCCTCAGCTGGCCCCTAAATATAATTGTGTACTAGTTCAGTGAAATTAACTTACTTTCAAATTTGTCAGCAATTCTGTATTGTTGCACTGCTTTGTATTGTTTACTTCAAACATAACTGGAGAAGTATGACAATGAGTATGTCAAGTGTATATTTCTCTTAGTATTGAGCAAGGTATCAAAATTTCAAAGAACTAGTATATACCTCCAACAAACTTTACTCATAATCATTTCATTGGAATAGACTTGGTGAGAATTTATATTATAAATTTTGTTTAATTTAACACATTTTGACTTTTTCTTTGTAGAATTTATTTCCCAAGTGAGTTTTTAGAACCTCCACCAGAAATAGCACCAGAAGTTGATACTGCTGCAGGCTGGGGATGTGTTATATCATAAAATGTATCACAAATAAACCCAAAACGTGTTCGGACTTACAATAATAGAAATGAGATAATATGCATTTAAAAGTATTAGTGATGTACAAATTGGTCACGGCTTTTGTCAGAACAGACATGAAAATAAATGAGTTATTCAATGAATATACAGGGCATTGGTTGCTTTGACACAACCAGATGATAAAAACATAATATTGAATTATGTTTCTATAAAAATGCAGATACTATAAAAATTTTACGCCGCAAAAGTATATGAATCCACATCAGAAAATTTTTATTGTTTAAATTGAACAAAGTCACTATTTACATTTTTGCAACAAGTCATGCTTTGTTTTAGGGCATTATTTCTGTGGTTTTATAATACTATATATGTATAATTTAAGTTACATATTTAGTTCTTCAAAGGTTAAATTTTTTCAGCCTTTCTTACCAAGTTTGGAAAAAGTAGCTAAAATAATAAAACTGTGAAAAATGTTGCTTTCACAGTTTTGAAACATAAAATGTTTGTATAACTGAATTAATGAGTAGGATGTTAACATTTGAAGTCCAATAAAATAGTTGTCAATATATATATCATGTGTGAATAAACAGAATATTTGAATATAGACTCGTAACTTAAAAATTAAAGGTTATGATTGTTTAGTATCACAAGTGCATCATCTGCAATAATTTTCAAAAACACTTGCTAACATTTTCATTAAATACTTTTAGCAAATTTTTGAATTCTACGGCATTGCCAAAAAAAAAATATGTACATTCAAAGTATTATAAATGACATTAAGTAAATACTTCTGTTATGTTAAATTAAAATTTGTATAGACATAAAGTGTGTGTGTGTGTATGTTACCTCAGGACACTGGCATGCACCAGGCTAAAACTATTTTGTCCCCATAAGATAATTATTTCAGAATTCCAGATGGTAAATTTTTGAAGTATAATCATGGGAAAAAAAGTTTTATTCTTCTGCTTTTAACAGAAGATCACAGTTATCTAAATAGAAGTGCAATTTCTTTTTTTACATATTCATCATCAAACCAGGTCATTTTGAACATTTAAAAAAAATATTCCATTAATCAAATAAATTTAACATTCAGTTTTATTTTTTGATTTATTAAGATTTTGTCCAATTAAGTCATGAAAAACAATCATACATGGGTCATTATTTAAGATAAGAATATCTGTAGTCAAACCCTTATAGAAGAGGGTAGGAATGGGGTACCCCACATGACGAATGATGGTAAAATATTTGTTAAAAAAACATTAACGATAAACATTTTTCTCCATTTGATGCTAACGCTAGCTACAAAATGAGATTTGATGAATGACGATAAAAAATTAAGGCTCATTTGACGCTAATGGTAGCAAAAAAAAAAGGGATGTTTGTTGAAGCTTGACGATAAAAGGGCATTCCTACCCTCATAGAAAACTGATCTCATATGAGAGAGGTGAAATTTGAATTGAAGTTCAAAATGCATCAGTATTACTACAGATAGACTAGAAGACAGTGACCCGAGAAGACAGGTTTTTGCTTAATAGAGGTGTCACCTTTATGACATGTTTGACTATTGTTAAAGAATTCCAAATAGATCTCCACATTTACTGTCATTTATAAAGTGCTTTGATTCACAAGTAATTTACTTTGTATTTGTAACTGAATCATTGTTTAAACTCATAGAATGTTTTGTGGAAGCTACAGAGTGATTTCCATTGTGACAAGGTCTCTCTGAAATGTCTTTATGTGTGGTCAGTTATTTTATATGACAGTCATAAATTACTACATGTATAATTGCATGCATGCACCCTTTTGTCATGTTTCTCTCATTACTAGCACAAATGATTCCCCTAGTATGATTTCCAAAACATAATTTATCTAGTGCAATGTATTCTTGTATCAAGGGAGATTATGCTTGTTAAGGGGAGTTAACTTAATGAAGTTGAAACAGAAATATTCAAAGATAATCATTTTAAATCAGTTTGTTCATACTTATTAAATTTGTTTCAGATCAAACATTTTTTAAGTAACTGTTAAATCATATCTCATATGCCACTATAATTCACTTCAAAACTATTCATTTTGATAGAGCAGAAAACTTCACATGCACAAAAATATTGTTTTCACATATTACACATTCTTGCACATTTTTATCAATATTCAAAATCATATGTTTTTCTTAAATTCTGTAAAAAACATTCTTCAATTTATCCTACAGTAGTCTAGTACTTATATACTAAGCAAATATCTAATTGATTAACATTTGTTAGACCAATATGAACTTATTTTTTTATTATTAAAATTTCTACAATGTTTTGAAATATATAGAAAACTTTACATATATTTGATCAATTAGCAAGGAATTTTTTTTTGTAAAATGTTAAATGAAACGACAATCACTTACTGTATCATAACCAAAGCCCCTAGGAAAGAATGAAAAGCTTCCTTTTAGGTGAAGACGTAGTGCAAGCAAAGTGTCAGGTTGTCTCCCCTATTGTACATAGTAAGGATATACACCATTTTTGCAATACTACCAAAGCTTTACTAGTTTTTCTGATTGGCCAAAGCTTTTGGTAACTTTCTCTGATTAAAACTTATGTCTTCATCATAGGACATAACACCCAATTATAAAGAACCAACACACAGCACACATGAAACAAATAAAGATATGATTTAGGTGACGCAAGTTTTATTAACCCTAGAAAGTTAACCAGGGTGAATATATATAGCATTTAGGGGTTAATAAAGCATGGTATCCACCTCAATAAAAGTCATTAAATGTATAATGTTTTTGATTATTTTGATAAAATCTTGATCTTGTATGTATTTTTATGTGTATATAACAGCTGTTTCTGGTCCAATTTGATTATTGGACAATTTATTGAACTGATTTGATATAATACAAAATAATCTAAAACCGTCCTTGTTCTTTTTGTGTGTTCATAAAAAAGACAATATTGTTGATATTTTTTTGATATATATACTTTTTACTATGTATATTTATTCAGCTGTATCTTTATTTATTTGTTAATATTGATGACTATTTATCAATGTTCACTATTAAAATTGTTGAAAACAAAATTATTTTTGTCTGTCAGGTTTATTGCCATCAGCATTCCAAATACAATATTTTCTCTTGATCCTCACCTAATTTTTGTTGAGCCTGCGACTTTTGTCGCAGAAAACTCGACAGGGATAGTGATCCCGCAGCAGCGGCGTTAACTAACTTCTAAAAAGCTTGATATTTTAGAAGGTAGTAGACCTGGATGCTTTATACTTTGTATATAGATGCCTTATGATATGAAGTTTCCGTCTGTCATATGTCCATTGTCCTTGATCTCATTTTTATGGTTCAGTGACTACTTGAAAAAAGTTAAGATTTTTTGTAATGTTAATTTCTCTCTTATTGTGAGTAATAGGATAACTATATTTGGTATGTGCGTATCTTGGAATGTCCTTATGCCTTTCAGACAGTTTTCACTTGACCTCGACCTCATTTCATGGATCAGTGAACAAGGTTAAGTTTTTTGTTGTCAAGTCCATATCTCAGATACTAGAAGCAATAGGTCTACTATATATGGTGTCTGTAATGATTGTAAGGTGTACATGTCCAACTGGCAGGTGTCATCTGACCTTGACCTCATTTTCATGGTTCAGTGGTAATAGTTTAGTTTTTGTGTTTTGGTCTGTTTTTCTTATACTGAATGCAGTAGGTAAACTATATTTGGTGTATGGAAATATTTTACGATGTACATGTCAGTCTGACAGGTTTTATTTTGACCTTGACCTCATTTTTATGGTTCATTGCTCAATGTTAAGTTTTTATATGCTGGCAAAAAATTTTGCGGTCGTATATTGGTATCACGTCGTAGTCGTCATCGTCCGAGTTGTCTGAATACATTTGGTTTCCGGACAATAACTTAAGTATTAGTAAAAAGAAATATATGAAATTAAAACACAAGGTTTATAACCACAAAAGGAAGGTTGGGATTGATTATGGGGGTTATGGTCCCAACAGTTTAGGAATTAGGGGTCAAAAAGGGGCCCAAATAAGCATTTTTCTAGTTTCAAGACAATAACTTGTGGAACGGTGTATGGATCTCTCTGAAATTATACCACAAGTTTCCATAGCACAAAGGGATGGTTAGGATTGGCTTTGGGGTGTTATGGCTCAATCCATTTAGGAATTAGGGGCAAAAAAGTGAGAGAAAAAACAAGGATTTACTGGTTAATAGACAATTACGTAAGTACAATATTGTGTTTGAATTATCTCCCTTACACTGCTTTGAAATTATGTATAAAGAAATGTTGTATTGTCTTGAGGTGATTAGCTGTCTATTTATTTTTAGAAGTTACTATTTTAATAATTTTGAAAATGCTGATTAAGGTTTATTAATTTTAGCCATGATTATGTATGTCATTTTCTATTTTAAGACTTTCATGATGTATTTGAATGGGTTATTATGGTTGCAAACTCCATTGGAAATTTGAATTGACCTTATCTTGAGGGAAAGAATTTTTTTTTGAAAAGAGGAGGAGGTTAAAAAAAAGGGGGGGAGGGTAAAAAAAATTGGTGGTGGGGGGTGGGGCAACAGCATAGTGTATTGCACAAAAGCAAAAAATTGAATATAAATTCAAATCATATAACCAATTCTAAGTTCTTTGACTACAGTTATTCTGTGTCAGAGACTTATTATGTGTCAAATATTGAATTACAATCCAAATTCAGACTTGTATTAAGTGCGAATATTGTGTCCATTTTTGCCCCAACTGTCCAGGGTTGGACCTCTGCGGTTGTATCCAGCTGCTCTCGGGAAGCAATTTATTATGTTTTGGACTGTTTTTCTAATACTGTATGCAGTAGGTCAACTATATTTGGTGTATGGAAATATTTTACAATGTACATGTCAGTGAGGCAGTTTTTATTTACCTTGACCTCATTTTCATGGTTCATTGCTCAATGATCAGTTTTTGTGTTTTGGTCTGTTTTTCCAATACTGTATGCGGTAGGTCAACTATATTTAGTGTATGGAAATATTTTAAGATGTACATGTGAGTTTGGCAGGTTTTATTTGACCTTGACCTCATTTTCACGTTTCATTGATCAATGTTCATTTTTTGTGTTTTGGTCTGTTTTTCTAATACTGTATACAGTAGGTCAACTATATTTGGTGTATGGAATGATTGTAAGGTGTAAATGTCTGTCTGGCTGGTATCATCTGACCTTTACCTCATTTTCGTGCTTAATTGGTCAACTTTGTTTTTTAGATACTATAAGCAATAGGTCAACTATATTTGATGCATGGAATGATTTTAAGGTGTACATGTCTGTCTGACAGGGTTCATCTGTCTTGACTTCATTTTCATGGTTCATTGGTCTATATAGAATTTCCATGGTTTGGTACGTTTCTTTTATACTATAAGCAATAGGTCATCTATATTCTGTGTATAGAATGATTGTATTAAAGGTGTACATGTATTTCCGGCTTGGTTTATCTGACTTTGATCTCATTTTCTTGGATCATAAATGTTAATGTGATACTTGTAGTAAAACTTTATAAGTAGGACTATCAACATAAAATCAATGGTCAGTATAGTAGGCGAAACATTTCAGCGTGTGCACTCTTGTCAGAGTCTAGTGGTTAATATCCATTTTTAAGTGAGTCAAGAGAAGAAAAAAATCCAGTCATTAATTTTTGTATGGCAGTGGGCAACGGGTGGGCTGCTATATTAAACAACTGTTACCATGCAATATATCTAGATCCATTTAACCACTGCTTTTCAAATTTTAATATGTTGTTATAAAATTGAGGTCATGTTGGATATTGACCATTTTCACTTGTACCGTTCAGCAGTTATTGCCCTTGGTATATTGGAAATTGATGTTTTATGTCGTTTCTGTGTAGTAACTTATGAACCTTCCAATCAATGCTTTTCAAATTTTGATATGTTGTGAGCGATTACAAAATGGAGGTCAAGTTAAATATTGACGATTTTCAATTTTAACGTTCAGGAGTTATGGTCCTTAATTTAGATTGGAAAATGGCACTTTATGTCGTTTCAGGTCAATAGCTTGTGAACCATTCAATCAATGCTTTTCAAATTTTAATTTCGTCCTGAACATGCATGAAATATTTGCCACTGGACGTTAAGCAACCAACAATCAATCAATTAGATTTTAATATGTTGTTAGTGAATACAAAATAGAGGTCAAGTTCAACGATTTTCACTGTTACCGTTCAGGAGTTCTAATCCTTGATAGAGTTGAAAATATGTAAAAAACGTAGCAGGGCAAACAAGCCTGGCAGCTTTTACAATACATAAAACCAAGTTTTCTGTCAACTTGACGTCTCTTTTCTTGTTCATGATTAAAGTATTTCTCAATTAATATTTGTGACATTAAAATATTTTCGTTTTGGAGTTACTGATTGAACATTTGATAGACCTAGACTACATACTGAGGACAAGTACGACAATCACGCGGCATTTATATTGGTTTCCTTTTACATTATTTTTCCTAGTTCAATGAATTAAAGCCTGGTAAGTCTATGCTGTTAGAATCCCTTTACTAGATACAGCGGATTTGCATGTTTATGATAAGTTATGAAATTAGGGACAATTAATATATTAAAGAGCATTCCTAGTGATTGCCAATGTAATATTCATTGACAGAATGTCATCAGGAGAATATTTATAGTCATTTTTACTTCTTATGTATAAAATTACTGAATGCCTATATTTAATTAGTGAAAAGGACTATAAATGTATCTTTTGATGAAGGTAATCTAGTATATGTAAGCATATATTCATGTCAATCAATGAGTATCAACCATCATGCTTTTATCAGTTGTGTTATTTTTGAAGTAATTTTAACCCTATCCTCTGTGATACCGAACAAGTTTTAATCTAGAAGAATCAGAAATACCTTAAGAAAATATATCTACCTTATTGGAAACTATGATTATATGATGAAAATAATGTTATAATATTTTCATCAGATCAACAAATGCACAAACAAAACAAAACAAACAAAAACACCGATGAAATCTAAATGTTACCAAAATCTTTTTTTTTTTAAATTTAAACAAACTGATCTTTTAATTGTTGTTTGCATTTATTTTGGCCACTTACTTAGTGGACCTTTTGTCAATGATTTCGTGATTTTTTTATAATCCTTTATTGGGTAATTTTTATATTTTCATTATGTGGCTTCGGGTATTTTGTTATAAAGCAAGATTTTTGAAATCGAGTTATGTGACCATTTTTTTCTTTCTCTTTTCTCAAACATGAGTTTCCATTAGAAACATTATTTATTTATTTGTTATAATTGGCTTTTGAACTAGCCTCAGTAACTGCGAGTACTCTTAGATCTGTACTTTCTGTCCATAGTGTTTTTGTATGGGTTTTTTTTTGGTGCTTTTTGTTGAGCTGATGATTCAAGCCTTTTTTCAACTGATATTCATAGTTTGTTCTTATGTTGTACTGTTACACCAATTTCGAAGGTAAGTAAAGGGTTGAGCACTCGCTAACATATTTAACTCCGCCATATTCATTATGTGCTTTTCCCAAGTCGGACCCTTGTAAATTCAGTAATTGTCGTTGGTGGCTGTTTTTCATACTTTTTTCAATTTATTGTTTTGTACATAAATCTGGCTTTTCGTTTGAATTGTTTTACATTTAGCCATGCTGATGCCTTTATTTTAGCTTACTATACGGTATGGGCCTTGCTCGTTGTTGATGGCCTGTTGTTTCTATATTACAACTCATATTTTAGTTCAAAGTTCTTTTTTTTTACAAGTAATAGTGGCTTTTCACATATTACCAACACAAAATTGTGACAATTTTGCAGACCCTGAAGCTTGAAAACAAGCACGGTAACATGTACTTTTTATCATATCTAAATAAACATTTTGGCAAGTTAATATACACATTATACCATTGTTTATACTCCCATATTACCATAAGAATAAATTCCCTTATACCTTGGCGATAAAAAAAAAACTAAACATTTACAGTCCTGTCAAACTGCGAAAATTGGTTTCTTGATCTCTATGTATATAATGAAATAAAACTATGGAC